TTCCAGAGTATGGGTTGTGTATTTTGCTGAGAACATATTTTCTTCTATTCTGGCTGGCACTAGTTAAAAAGTTTCTTAAGGACTTGGCAGCCAAATTGAGTTTCCTTTTAACATTTGATGTGTTCTGAAGCCTATTTCTATTTTTTGTTTGATCTATACAACCAGAAGATAGAATCACATCATAAATTAAAATGTGTTACAATCTTGGTAGGCAGGTTTACATAATTTTATAGTCTACTTCTTGTGGTTATGATTTCTCCTTAACTGACTTTCTTTCCTTCCAGCTTCCTGAAAAGCTTCTGTATTCCCAAGGTTGCAACTGGATTCAGCAATACAGTTTTGGGCCAGAAAGTTACACAGGTCCTAATGCCTTTGGAAAATTACGCAGATGTATGGAAACATTAAAGACAAATGTGAGTATTTAGAAGGTGGCTGGCTGACATAAAAGCACTTCTAACTGGGTTGAGGCTGAATTAGGGATCATCCTCTTGTTACATATCTCTATGGCAGTCTGACTGCCTCCTGGATTTAGAGAACTCAGTTGCTGTGCAGGCTGTCACTTCTGCAGAGGAGTTCAAGTTTGGGGTTCTAGGTTAAGTACTCCGTTTCCCTGCAAGTTAGGGAGGTCCCCCTCCCCACAGCTGTTAGTGCGTGTTTATCTTCCACAATATCTCATCATTTCAATGAAAATAACTACATGCTATATGAGATCCTCCTAGATGCCCTCCCAGAACTGTAGGGAACCAACAAATGGTGCATTTTCTTCTGTTTTCTTCCCCATTTTAATAGGGAATTAATGTTTTGTTAAGTTAATGTTTTGTTAAGTTTTTTTCCAGTAATTTCTCTCTGCGAGCTGAAGTGCTTGAATGCAAAGATCTGACAGCCTCAGTGCCCTGTCTGTTCAGCAAAACCAGATTGCTTGCATTCCCAGCCAGGAGTTTAATTTTATTTATGCATCTGAATGCTCTGGGAGTTTAGTAGCATTAAGGTCTCTTGGAAAAAAAGATGAAAATTCAGACTGGCAGGAACCTGCATTTTTGCTTGAGCTCCTCTAGGATGTCTGCTGGTCTGTCATTGTGCGAGCTTGGAACTGCTTCCATTCTGTTTGCCACAAGCTATCCCCAGCATGCCACCTCTCTCCTTCCCAGCATCGCAACTGCTTCTGTTGGGCAAATATCATTTTATCCTGCTTGCTCTGTATTTGTCAGTGTTGGGTTGTTTGGCTTTTGGTTTTTATCTTCTTTTCCTTGTCACTTGATATTAGTCCCTTAGGATGATGCATTCAAACTGGATGTTTGTACAGAAAGAAGTTTCAAGTCAGCATGGTAAGCCAATCCATGCAGTTGACTAATTGTTGCAGAGCAGCTTCTTTATGCATTATGCTGTTGCTGAACATGAGTTAGGGTATGGACTTGATCTTGAAGGCCTTTTCCAACCTGAGTAATTCTATGGTTCTGTGATTCTATGAGGTCTAATTCCTAGCTTTATTCTGTTGTTAAAAAGATGCTGTTTGGCCAGTGAGGTGGACTTGTGCCTATTTTCATGAATGCTTTTTTTTTAAGGTTTATTTAGTAGTGCGAAGGGAGTCAGCACTGGGAATTGGGTTTCTCCTGTATTTGACTGCTTACTTGCCTCACTGCTCTGCAAGTACAGTGAGAAACCTTATGTACTTTCTTGAAACTTGAATAGCCAAATTCAGTAAATGTTTTTTAGTGCCTAAAGCTTATAGATGCATTTCTACTATAACTATGACTTGAAGATGAAAGTGGGCACTAGTATTTTGAGGCTTTTGAAGAATGTTAGCTATACACTAGCATGCTTTTGCAAGAGGCTTGCTACATACCCCAGACTCATGAGACCGAGCCTCGTCATGCCTGACTTGCCTCAAGTGAGCGAGGTGCAGCAGAGTGCCTGCCAGTTTGCTAAGCAGGAGGCAGCCAGCTCTGCTGCCTTTCCCAGTTCCATCCTCATCCTCAGGGCTCTTTCCTGCAGATGTCTTTGGGCCTAGGTTGTGTAGGTCAGTCAGCAATTTGTACTCTAGACTTTTCACATTGGTAGTAGAAGTACTCTAGCAGAGGGGTAATTAGTAATGCTTCATCCACTCGGTTTTGTTTTTCATCTGTAAGAATGGTCTTCAGTATGCATGAGGAGATTGCAGCATCTGTTTCTCAATTAGTAAAGTAAATTAGACTTTTTGAGTTACAGTTCTTGGTGTTTGGCAGTTTCAGCACATAAATACAATCACAGAATTAACTGCAACTGATTTGAATCTTAGTCCCTGAGCATCATCTCTTATTGTGGTCCTGAAAAACTTCTTGCTTTCAGAAGACTGTTTCTATCCACCGTGATCAGGACTGGATGTCTTAATCTTTCTCATTTGGTATCTAATCCAATGTTGTTCATCTCCTGGCTGATTCATTTGCTTAGTATGAGCACCAGCTTTCAACCTCTCTAGAGCAACACAGAGCTGAGGAGCTTCAATTATAAGCTGAGCAGAACAAGAAATTTCTATTTGCTGTTGTCCTGCATGTGTCTTTGTCTTGTCCATTCTTGGCCAACAAACTTAGCTTGACCTCATAATCAGAACACACTAAGGACATACAAATACATACAGTTCATAATATCATGTCCAATTTACATAAGTTCCCTTTAACTGATCTACTTCTGTGTTAGACTTAGCATCTAAGGAATTTAAGCAAGCCTAGCTTCTAACACAAAGGGTTCCTTTGAGGAAAATTACTGAATTTTGGATGCTGTAAGTTAAAAACAACTCAGGAATCATCACTTAATCTAACCTTTGCTTATAGCATAGTGTATATTTGATGCACCTATGCTGATTTCCTATGACTTTGAAGTGCTTTTGGTGGTTGCACATTTTACTGTCAGTCATAGCTGGATTTTCTGTTGTAGTGGTGGATGGCTTTTTATAGAGGAATTGCATTTGCTTTCTCACAGCCTATAGTAAGTATCCAAGTGCCTTGAGCAGCCTGTAGCAAATAAATTCAGGTAGATAAATGGAAAACGAAGTGTCCAAGACTTCACATTTTACTGCAAATCACTCAAAACCACTGGCTAATCTGCAGTTACGTTTGGCCACAGGAACAGTGCAGTATGAAGTGGCAATTACTCCTGTTTTGATGTCTTTCATATTAGGTAGAATTCTTAATGAGTTGGTTATTCATCTAAATTGTTAATAAGTTGACTAGCATTCTTCTGTGTGCTTTCTAGTGGGCTGAAATGAGTGGTACTAAAGATCACGAAGAAAGAAGAAACATATGTAATGCACTCTTTTCTGACGAGAGCAAGGAACACAAGCTATATGAGGCTATAAAATTTATCATGCTCTACGAAGTTGTTGAAGCCTACGAGCAAATGAAGAACAGGGATGAACCTGTACCCCACCTTTTTCGCCTCCTCTTTGCTCGGGATACTTCCTCTGACCCTTTGAGTTTCATGATGAATCATCTGAATGCCATAGGTGACTCCATTTGCCTAGACCAGGTAATGATACAGATGAAAAACTAAATCACAGAAGTAATTCCATCTCTGATGTGACTGGGGGAATGTACTGTACATCGTTTGTGAGATACTTGGCCCATTTTTTTTTTCTTTGAGATATAGGGAAGTGAACTGATGACTTCCAGGAAAAAAAAGAAATAGCAGAATAAAATAGTGCAGACAGTTCTTTTGCTGGGCTGGAAGTAAATGCTGTGAGGTAGCAATAGGCATAGTCTTTCCCATAGGCGAAATCATTTTTCATAATCTATTTCAGTTACAAAGTCAATCAATAGATGACGTGTTCACCTTTGTTTTGATCTGTGTCTGGCTGTGCCCAAGGATACGAGTTACTTTTCCAAAGCATTTTTCCAGTTTAAACAATCCTTTGCAAGACATGTTAATGAAGAACCAGTTCTCAAGCTTAAAACGCATGAAGTGCTTCCTTTTACTGTTGCATCCCCATTGTAGCAAGCGATCAGAAGGTGGCAGGCTTCCCATTTTTCAAGGTATTAATCTATTAAACATTAGTTCCTCATTGCACCCCGGTAAGCTGAGTGAGCTGAGTGTGGGAGCAGATTATGTGTAGAGTCAAGTGAAAGAGGGATGTTTCCAAAGCTGCAAGTATTACCCAGAATATCCTCAATATGAAAAAGAGTGGCAGGAAGATGACTGGGACATTGAGAATATCCTGAAACTCTTGATTTTGTTACAAAAAAACCTTTGCAATTCTTTGTCTGCTGTTTTTAAGTAAGATAAGAGACTTATCTTATCCTTGTCTTCATTTTTGTTTTCTAAGACTAGAAATAAATGTCTTATGACCTCTTTCATTTTCAGGTTGAACTGTTCCTTCTTGGATACCTGCTTCAAGTAAAGATCAAAGTTTACAGACTGCATAGATTTAATACTGAAGAATTTCAAGTAAACTGTCCAGATGAATACCGAAGGGAATGGAATGAGATTTCTCTCCTGACTGAGGATGACCACTACTATCACATCCCAGTTATCAGAACGTGAAGCACAAAGAACTTCTTTTTAACCTTTGTATAACGTAGTGAGTAACCAGTTCCAGTGAATTAGGTTTCTAACTGGCAGCAGAAATGCATGTTGATGATTACAAAATGATTTATGGGTTTATTGTGTAAATGCTTTGCTTTCCCATTACAGCTCAATTAGTTCCAGTCAGCCATAAATAGCAAAATATATTGCTATGCTGTTTGGGGGGAAAATGTCATATCTAAGGGTTATTGAAAATAAAAGATCAGACAGCATGACAAAGGGAAAAGTAATGCTGGTTTTCCACTCCTAGGCTAATGGCTTACTCTAACATATCTGCGTGGGTTAAACTTAAGCCCTAAAGTAATTCCTGCCTTTCTCTTCTATTTCTTGAGTTAGAATGAATGAACTATGCAGGAAACAACTCTTGGGGTCCCACAGTTTTTACTCTGGGACACTAAAGTTACAAGGATTTGAGGCTATCTTGCATGCAAGTATGTAAACTGAGGCCACTACACAACTCAGTTCAAATCCCATCCAGTTTCTCCTGGTGTTGCAGTGCCTCCCTCCAGAAAGAAAGCAAGCAGCTGCAGACCACAGCTACTTCAGACTCTTGAAATCAGGCTGATCAGTGTTAGATCTACTTTACAACTGAGGAAAGTTAAGACGTTGATGCTTGAAGAAGTCTGTCTGGAACAACTAAATGAGATTTGCTTTACTATATGCTATGCTTTGCCTGGTTCTAGTTTCTAAAAGACTCGATTGTGTTTAGATAATTTCTAAAATGAGAGGTCCTAAATTGAACAAATGCTAAAATGATACAGCAGATCTTGCAAGTGAAAAGCATACAATCCCCCAGGCATGGGTTATATTTTAAAAGTGGAGTTTTATCAAGAAACAAAGGCTTTCCTTGTTTTATCCTAGAAGTACAGAAGGAGGCAGGTTTGGTTTTAACTGCTGCAGGACAAGGAACAAAAGCACGAGCTGGGCCTGCAGGAGCTAAAGCAGTTGTGTGTAGTAACTAAATGATAATGTTGGAGAGCATAAAAACTGCTCTCTTCCTCTGTGTAATGGAAAACAATTTCATCCTTTTAGTCTTTCTATTTTTATGTATATATAATTTATAAACACAAACACCTGCATGCTGTATTATATAGCAAGTTCATTTCTTGGCAGTTTCTCTGGGTTCAGTTTTGTTCAATAATCTGTAGCTATTAACGCAAAAGACTTGATACATATAATAATTTAATCTTTTCAAAGTCTACATGTTGAATATTTATTTTAAAAACAAACTCACAAACTTTATTCACTGGATGAAGTAATTTTCCCTCTTTAATTTTGATCCTGTTCCACGTAGGGAAATGCTGTAATGCCTTGCATTGGGTATTGTCTGTTTTGCATCAGTGGTATATGCAACACTTGCACTTGTCAATAAAGTTGCCTATATTTTATTCTTGTTTTGGTACAAGCAGGCATACCAAAAAAGGATGTATTTTTATAGAGAGCTTTTTAATGGTTTGTGTATTATTTATGAATAGCAATGCAAAAGCATAACATCTGGAAGTGTTACATTGATAAAATGTATGTTTTTTGTAATCTTGAGCATACTGATAGAAGGAAATTAATAAAGATAAATGAAGAAAGATACAGCAGTGCCATTTATCACTAAAATAAGATGAGCACATGTTTACGTCTGGTTTAGATCTCTTAGGCTCCCTGCCTGGTCAGTGAAGGGCAATGGTGGAGGAGTTAATGGCAGTTAATTAGAGGAGTTTCTACAAGGGTGTGGTTCTTCTCACAGACTGTAAAGAAGGAGAAACTTCAGAAGTTTGAAGTGAAGACAACATGAAGACATGAATTCTGAGTGCTCCACACAGGATCTTAAGCAACACTGAGACAGGTTTGGAGCTGCACTGATTGTAAACAGGTTTTCTGATAATACACTTCAGCTATGTACAAAACATATTTGTGTAAAGGAACACACATACATGTATGTGTAAAATATACATATCCATATATAGGAGTTAAAAAACAAAACATCCTGAATAAGCTGCACTAGAACAATCTAGTACTGGGGAAAAGACAGGTGCTGCAGCATCATTTCAGAACAGTGGTTACAGACAAAGTGTGCAGCAGGAATCCAGAAACCTGAACACGTGCTAGAGAGCTCTGCTGGTGTCATTGCTCTTATCTTTCTAACCTGTGAATTTTTGACTACTGCCTTTCTGCTCTTGAACTGTGGAAGGGCTGACTTTTTAAGCTTACTATCCTTTCTTATAATTTTGTAATTCATAGAAATGAGATTTTAGTATGAAAACCCCTCAGTGCAGTGTACTGGTGTTTCAGCTCCTTTTTGTATAACATGTTGCATGTAGCTTTTGTCTTATCTAGTGATAATTGGAATAAATGAACATGTATCATAAGTCCAAGCCCTGGAGTTGTGAAACGTTTAAGAGGTACATAAACAATAAGCTCAGGTCAGCGTGATTCGGAATCTATGTAAAGTTTGTGAAACAATTGGGTCATTAACATGAAATTTCAGGGTCAGCCAAAACAAGCTTCGTTGTGTTTAATTTAAAAAAATAAAAATTAAAGTATTTCCCTAATATTTTTTTCCCCCAAACGCCATTTTTGAGACTGTGGTAGCATAGAGATTGAAGAGTGATTTTGGACTTACTGCAGGAGATACATTGGAAGTGACATGTTAATGGTGATGAAGACACAGGTTGGTAGCAGTGTAAGAAGGAGGGTGTGGAAGAGAAGTGGCTGAGAGAAGTTCAGCAAATCCTTAGCGACCTCCAGTGTGAGAGCTGTCTGCCGATTAAAGGAGATGGGAAAGTTTCCCAGTGTAGTATCCAGGTCAAGTGTACTTGCAGGTCTTATCCTGCTGCCTAACCCATGGCACACCAGTAAATCATGCCTGCTATGCATCTCTCAGCCACCCTTTTGAAGCAGAAGATTTCTCTGCTGTGAACATTCTCCTGAGCTGTGCAAACATAAAAGACTTTATCTCCTCCACAAGGCATGTGTGCACACATAGCCATCATTTACAGTACAGCAGCAAGGATATACAGCCAAACAACAGCTACTGTCAAAACTTTGAGACATTAATGAAACCACAAGCTCCTGTTTAAATTAGCTGTGAAAAGCCCATCTATTCCGGAGTACAGCAGATCAAATTGAGCCAAAGGCCTGTCTTCAGTGTCACCAAAGGTATACTCAGAGTAATGTTGCTGAATGTTCCAGATTAGTTTTGATTATACTTTTATTATATAAGTAAGGAGAAAAGTAGGAGTTTAAATGTTGAGCATGCTCAACAAGGTAAAAGTCCTTCTCATCTGCTGTGTTGTATTCCTTACAACATGTCCAACCTTTTGGCTTGCCTGGGCCACAGATAAAATATATAATATAGTTAATGTATATAACAACATTGTTAATGTGTATTAAATCGAGGAGAGAACAACACCAAAAGGACTAGTGGCATATTTGACATTGATCAAAAAAATGTGTTTGCACACATATAAGTGGATTGAAATATTATGAATGGTAGTCATTGTTTTACTCATCAATTGGCACCAGTGTAATGTGCAATACGTGTGGGTTCTGCTTCAACTGAGTATGTTTTGGGTGCAAGAAGTAGTTGGCACTGCATCCCACTGCAGCAGCAAAATGACATGGCCAGAAAAGGGGTGTGAACATGAGCAGCCTTTGAGGCCATTTAATCCAGGGCAAAAATTCTCCATGTGTTGTCACCTGTCCTCTATGGTAGTCCTCTCCACTTTCCTAATGGAAAATGGAAATGGAGCTCTGGAGCTTTAAAATAGCATGTTGGTTCTCTGAAAGGTAGAAAACCAAATGGCATTGAGCAGTAGTCAGAAAGTTCAGCTTCTAGCAGGTTCTCATGCTGCAGAAAACTTTGTCAGAAGCCATGCTGTTTAGCAATAGTTTTGCTTTGTTTACTCCTTTTCATTCAAATATAAATAATATGTGTGTATATATATTATAAATATAAATACATATGTGTCTGACGCCTGCTGTTAGGTGGCTCATACAGGTTGGCTTCACAGCTTTCCCTGCTGCTTTACTCTCAGGAATTAGTGGAGTGAACCATTCTACCAAGGACAATTACCCTGACCTGTATCAGGGTGACAGTGAACAAAATACATAACTCAGCTTCACATTGGATTGATTCTGGGTCAAAACAAAGGAAGCAGCTGAAAGACCGCTCAGAAGCAAAAGCATAGGAAAAACAAGCTTAAAAAAAAAAAAAAAAAAAAAAGCTTCCTTTTCATACTCAGCAATGTGAGAATTATACACTTTCTGTTTGAATGTGGTGCAAAACTACTTAGCTGGCTTGACTAGGAAATGTGAAAGTAGATGTTATTAATCCAGGTGGGAGATAGGTGCAAATAAACCAAAGCTATCAGCTAGTTGCTACAGTTTGTTAAATCATCTTTTAAAAGCAAACTATTCTACTGTCAAGGAAGAAATTGACTGTATCTATTTTTGAGTTTTCTTACAACTGTAGTAGCTGCTTCACTACATGTACAAATAAAGGAAGGTACTTCAGAGAGATTAGATAAATGTAAATGCCTTTTTACAACACTGCTGGGTTATCAACTAAATGCACTTGGCATCTCCAGTAAAGAGATCTATATCCTCAAAAAAATTTAAGGAATAAAGTTAAATCTGTCAGAGTCTTGGAGAAATGACAAGCTATTAAGAGGTATGTAAAGGCACATGAGGCAAAATATTCAATTTTTCTTCATCAATTTTCCTGTTAGGTCTCTTGTCTCTTTCGATAATGCTAAACACCAAATGTGTCTTATTTTCCTTCCTTTCTCTTTCCAGCACTGCTAATACTGTGGAGATGGTTTGGACATAATTCAGCAACAAGAGCTCCTATTCTGCTCTCCACCCTCCCCCCCTCGTTCTACCACAGTGTCCATTTTGTTTTATCAGCTGCCTTTGGTTGTCAATGTCACTATTGCCTACTTTAAAGTGTGATTCCCTGTGTTCAGGCTTCACCTCTTCCTGCACTATTCCTCATCTGTCCTCTATGTACAAGGCGGTGAGCTGCTTAATCATATCAAGAAAAACTCCAAAAAACTCCCTACATTAGTGATCCTCATTTTAGTTTAGTATATCTTAATGATCAGTTCATCCCATCTTTAATGAAATTAATTTTTAACTGAAAGTTTTCCATATGCATTGAGAAGATTTAAGAACAATACCATAGTAATGACTTTATTCTGTAGCTAAGACTTAGAACCTGCTTCTTAGAGGAAGCCAGGTGTGTGCTGGCAGCTGCATTCTGCTCAGAAGTAGCTTTGTGCCATCCTTGGAGCTAGTTCTAACAGAGGGGTAAGGAACATGGACTTCAGTAGCTCTGATTTTCCTTGCTGAGGAAGGATGGTGCAAGCTCTAGCCAGAAAGGGACAGCTATGTCCGTCCTGTCAGGGAGTGAAAGCCAAAACAATAGGAGCTAGCATCACTAAGTGCAAGGCTGGGGAGATGGTCAGCTGGAGAGTAGTTGTAGAACAGGTGTAGATATACCCACTGTTTCCATTAGGTATTTATAAGGGCAGCCACATCTATGCAACTCCACATGCGTGTTCATTAGGTAGACTTAAGGACATCAGCTGAGACAGATTTATTTTAAATAATGAATCTAGTTCATTTGATTTGTGAACTGGAAAAAAATCCATAAGTAAAATTGAGCTTCCCCCCCCCAGAAAGAATAAAAGGGACCATGAATTTGAGTACTATAATAAAAGCTGTATAATTTCTTGATTTTTGGTACTAACAAAGTGCTCCGGTTAAGGTTACATACTCTGAGATTTCTTTGTGATGTTTTATTTCAGTAACCCAACTTGATGCTACTTCTCCTAATCTTAATAGCACACTATAACACGAAGCAGATTTGACTACAAAAAGGCATCCGCTTGTTACATCCACAATCAAGTTTGCCATCAGTACAGTTGATGAGAATCCTTCACTGCTCCTTTGTGAGAAAGGGTCATCTGCACACTCACATTATCAAACAAATACAACAGATACAGACACATCAGATTCCCTAGGCAGAACATTACAATTCACCCCTTGACTTCATCCTGATCACCATTCCAGATGGTGGGTTTGTTTCTCACTCTTTGACTTCTACCTCCCCCATTACGCCCAGGTCCTCAGGCAGATCCACAGCCTACTTTCCCAAAGAGAAGGTCACATCAGCTCAAAGAAGTCGGTGACTGTGCTATCTGCATTCTCACCTGAAACGTGTGTTTAACTAATGCCACTATCAGAAATTTCTGCTTGAAAAAAATAGCCTGCGGTCACAGACCAGAAACTGCTGCGCTGCCCACATACTTCTGTTTATTACATATCCCAGCTCATAGGGTACTTCACAACTCAGTTCAGGTGGCTTCAGAAATTTGTCAGTAAACAATGATTTATTTAATTTTATGTAAACAGAAAGTCAAGTCAGTCTTAGCAAAAACAGCCACGGTAATTTACAAAAACAAAATCCTCCTTTTTTTTCTTCCCTACTATCTGAAGACAAGACAACCTATTTGGTTTTATCATATAACAAATACACATATGCATTTGGCAGAATTAATGTAAGAAAATGAGTACAAACTTCAATTC